AACTTCCACTGATATATCTACAAAGTCTTTCTCCTTCTTTGATTTTTAACACAATACTCAAGTGCTCATTACTAGCATATGTTTCAAGGATTACATCATCTTCATTAGTAGGTAGTGTTAGTACAGGAAGCTCTTTACACATAGCTTTTAAATCTCGAACAATTTTGGAATCACTTTCCTTCCAGTTCCAAGTTATTTCTTTCTTGAGTTTTTGTTGTAATGGTTTCCTTAATAGAGCAAGATTCTCTATAAAATTAGAAGCATAGGTTAAACATCTTAGAAATCTTTCTAGTTGTGTTCTATCTTCAATTTTATCTCGGAATTTTTCAATTTTTTCCAGAATATGTTTTTGCAATATTATTCGTCATGCTATAATTTCTAATCCTAGAAACTCAATTTCTTGTTTAGCATAAACACATTTATCTTTTTCCAAGGATTATACCATGCTCAGCACATTTTTGAGTTACCGATTTAAGATCATTCTTATGTTGTTCTAAATCTTTTGAGAATATTAGAATATCATCATGTAACCCAAAAAACAATGATTAAGTTCTCTAAAAATAATATCCATTCTTCACTGGAATATTTGTGGAGCATTTTTTAATCCAAAAGGCATCACTACCATTCATAATGCCCTTGAGGAGCACTAAATGCAATTAATGGAATGCTTTATTCTTCCATTTTAATTTGCAAGTAACCACTCTTATAATCCATCTTAGAAAACCATGTGGCTCCTTGTATTCTATTAAATAACACAGTTTTATTAGGAATGCAATAGCCATCAAAAACAGTATTGTCATTTAGCTGTTTATAATTAATGATCATTCTAACTTTACCTTTTTTTTTCTTCTGCATGGTTCCTTACCATGAATGCTGGACTATTATGAGGATTCTTGCTATTCCTAATTAACTTTTTATTCAACAATTCTTTTATTTGTTCATCAAATTCCAATATATCTTGGTAGGTATAAACCATTTGTCTTACTATAATAATCTTTTTAGGATTTGTTAGAGTTATCTTAGCAAATGCCTTATCCTTTTCCCAATGTTCTAATGGATTTGTTGAATATAATTTTTCACATAATTTTTCTTGTTGCTTACTTATCTGATCTATTAATGATGAATCACACTCAGAAATTCTAAGTGCAACCTCTCGTTGTGTAGGTGTAACCCTATCACTATGCTGGCTGCACGTAAATTCCATAGTCTGATGAGTATAACCTTTAGTTATTTTCTGTATAAGAACAGAATGGCCATTAATAGTTAAGATAATTTGATCAATAGTTAGAGTGCATGGAGAGTATAATCTTTGAAAGTTATTTCCTATTATCATATCATGACTAGGCTGATCAGTGCCCATAAAATAGGAATAACACATTGAACACCTCCAATTTCTATTGGTAATTCTTCTATTATTTCCGTATGCATCATAACACTATTATTAACAATTCTTACCTGCATAGGATTTTTAGCCTTTTTCCACAAGAAATCTGGAAATAATGACCTTTTTCCAAAACATGTAGAACAACCACTATCAATATATGCACATAATTTATATTTATTATAATCTTTCATGCATATATCAATTAGAATATAAATGCTATTAGGATTAGTACTTGATATTTCATTATAGGCTTCTATTTGCATATTAACTTCATCTTCATATACTGGTTCACTCACAGTTTTAGGCTTATATCCAATTACTTTTCTTTTTTAAAAAATAGGATTATTTGGATCCTCATTTATCTCTAAATTAGAACATGAACCAATATCAACACTATGTCTTGATGGTTGTTTTAAGGCTTTCTTAATTTCATATTTTTCATTTAGCTTCTTTATTAAAGCTAATATTTCTTCTTCATCCTCTTTTGGGTTTTCATTTGTTTGTTTTTTCATCTTTATTATAGTTGAATTTTGTCTATTTAGACTTGGTGTTCAAAGACTCATACTGCTCTGCATTTTAGGTTTTATAGTTATCCCAATATGAAGCAATCCTGATTCATCAATTAATAATTTAATTGATCTATTTTTCATTGCAGGATTCATGAAGAATTCTTCCCCAAGTTTTTTCAATTTCTATTTCATTAGGATTTACCTTTATAGGGACAATCTTCTTCTTAGGACCCCTTTCTTGCTCATATTTCAGGGCATCTACTATTTGCTTCTTGAAAGATGAATTTAAAGTGTTGACCAACTTATAGACTACCTTCCATCTTAATTGTATAGGTCGAATTCCTTTATGCATGTTTACTCCATCAGTTAATAACTTGATTGCTAGAAACCTTGGAGCATATGAATCTTCTAAGCTCACATAATATCTTGGTTCACATATATAACTTACAGTTCCCTGAGTTAAGCTACATGTGATACCACTAATAATCTGTTCATACAACTCTTTATGTCTAACATCACAAACAAAGCTTAAATTTTTTTTACCAAAATCCTGTAAAGGAGTTATGTATACTTATACTGCACCAATACAAATATAACTATAATTTCCTTTTTCTTTATGGTTCTTAATGCTTTTCTAGTTTGTGATATTAATTTCTGCTGCTTTCTTTTCACAATCTTCGATTACTATACTTCCTTCTATTTCTTCACATACATATTTAGTTTTAGTTTTAAAGAAAGAAGTTTTAAATATTTTCTCTTTAGTAATTTGAGGGAAATTCCAGCTTTCCTTGTTCATTTGATCTAAGTCTTTATCTTCAATTGAATACTAGCTCTTTTTAGTTGACCTATAGTCATTTTACTTTTATCATCTTCATCATCTGATTCAAAGTTTTCTAATACTTCTCCTTCCATCATATTATTTATTTCTTCATAATTTTCATCTTCAAATTCACTGTATTTAGGTTCTTCATTATACTCATTTTCTTCCTCAATTATTTCTATTATTCCTTTATTATTACTCAAAGCTAAGTCTAAAGCCTCATCTCCCGCCATTTGATAACTTGTTATTTGATATGATTTTAGGGTGTTTTTGAACCTTCATTTCTTGATAGATTGGTGCTTTGGTTCACTTTTACCCTATTTTCATGCATTTTCTATGTATCCTTTGCTTCTCGGGTTGTTAGTATTTTTGTTGAGTGTTTAGTTCTAAAGACGACCAATTGAAGTCCTAGGACGATAAACCGAGGTTGGAAGTAAGAAGGTGATGGAAAGAAGCCAAGGTAAAGGAGCCAAGTCAAGAATAAAGATAGATGTGCAGTGGCGCAGCCTCTCCTAGTCAGTGGAGAGGCCTCTCCAAGCTCCACCAAAAGTTCCTGCCTCAATTTTGCAAAATGAAAAAATTAGGAGGATCGTCCTCTCTTGATAGGTGCGCGGCCTCTCCACATGGAGAGACCTCTCCACCTTGATGCAAAAGTTCCTGCCTCCCTTGGAAGATTCAAGAAAATTTGTGGGGAGAGGCCTTTCCAACATAGGACGCGACCTCTCCACCTATTTGGAAAGCCCCCTCCACCTCGATGCTGAACTTCCTGCCTCTTTTGGCAGATTTGAAAGAAGAATGCGGAGAGGCCTCTCCAACATAGGTGTGCGACCTCTCCACCTTTTTGGAGAGCCCTCTCCACCCTGCTACTAAACATTCTTCCCCAATTTCTCCCAGTTTGGAGTGGCCTCTCCAAGTCATGGAGCGGCCTCTCCAGGCCTTGGAGAGGCCGCGCCCGATAGATCCTACGACTTTTCTTTTGCGGAGTTTACTATGTAATGGGGGGTTATAAAATAGTTTTGGGGGTTCTTTTTGTACGGATATTCAATTTCCTAGAGTCCTTTCTCTTAGTTTGTAATTTAGAACATCAAAAACTCTCAAATCATTGCTTAGTTCTTAGTTCTCAATCTTGGAAATTTCAATTCAATCATTGTAGAAGACAAGTTCCACCATTGTTATTCAAGTTTGAAGCTTCTAGTAACTATTTCTCACTCTTTTCGTCTATCTTCTCTACTTTAATTGCTAATTACTTGCTTAATTCTTGTATGCTTAGATTGTTAATTAGCTTAAATCTTAGTTTGAATCTATTCATGAGTTGCTTGAAATCTTTAATTGCTTTAACTTCCATGGATTGTAAGTAGTCTAATTTTCTAGGGTTTAGGTAAAACCCTCAATGTAGTCACTAATAACTTGTTGCATGTAATAATTTGGTGATTTTGGGGTGTTAATTAGTTGAGCTTAAGTGGTTTCATTGTTAGTTCTTGCATTTGGCCAATGTTAGGACTATTTATCCAAGCTTTCTCAACGAAGGATCGAGAGATGAACTTGAGTTAGCTCCCTTATGCTTAATTGACTTGAAATGCCATGAGAATAAGAATTTCCAGTCAAGGGAATGTTTATGTCATCGTGATCATGCTTTAACACTTGCTTAATGCTTTGTAACCACGAGAGTAAGTTGTATTCATGATTCAAGTAATCTATCTAGCTTGAGAGAGTAGTTGGGTGCTTTAGATGACTTCCCCTAATTTATCCCCTAATTTACCTTGATTGATGCATGTTAATTGTGATTTGTGATGAAGTTGAGTGGTGTAACCCATGCCCTAGATTCCTCTTAATATTGTTAGTCTCCTCTTAGCTTTTAGTTGAATTGAACTAGTAGAAGTTACTTAAAACCAAACCAATTTCGACTTCATTTAGCTTATTTGAACATAGTATCTCGGTGGTTGATTCAACGCCTATCTTGGGTTCGACCCTTTCTTATCTTTGCTATTAGTTAATGAGATTTATCTTTGGTAGGCTCGACGACGGCCTATCACTATTTCTATGTAATCCCAACTACCTAAGGCTTCCATTAGTTTATGATTAACTTTCTTACATTCATTAGCATATGTCCTAGTTCTCCACAACACCAACACTTACATGTCTTCTTTTTCTCTGGACAATATGTTGCCTTTCTGAAGAATCTACTAGGTTTTCTATAATTATGCTTATAATACTTCTTCTTATAGGTTTCTCCTCTTGATCTATCAAATTTATTCTTCTTATAATGTTTTCTCTTGTTATAATTCCTTCATTCACATCTATAGTTATTTGGGAAATCCCAACAAGTAAGAAATTGTCTCTTCATTTGTTGAGTTCCTGCAACTTCTCTACATTTCTTTTCAATCCACTTTCTTAAAGAAGCAATTCGGTTACCTAGGGCATCCCTAGCTATATATTTTTCCTTCCACTCTTGATATTTTTCACTGATTTCTTCATTTAGAGGACTTGGTAATTTGTCATAAAACATTCCAAGGTTCGTTTCGTTTTCACCAATTTTATAATAATAAGTTTCAAACTCCATAATGTAGTTCTCGACATATTTCATATTACAAATGGACAAATTACTTAACTTTCTTTGATATTCCATTCGTTTTTCATTAAGATCAGCTCTAGGATCAATGAATTCTAACTCAATGTATTGGCATAACTGTCTAAACATTCTAGTAGGGGATTCACTAGTTTTGACTTCTTTATCTATACCATCATACCAATCTTCTAAACAACCATAAAAACTATGTTCAATATAGTTTAAGAAATTTCTAGAAGTCCATTCAGTGTTTAAATTGAGTACACTACTCATGCTCTTTTTCCACTGATCTAAAATATCTTGTCTATCCCTTACACCATCTAATCTAAGCTTATAACCAGTTTGACTTATAGGTTCAAGAGTTACTTCTTCTTGTTTAGGTATTTGGTTAAACATGACCTTGACACTAAACCGGGTATGTGTCTTGGTCATGTGCAACTTCTCTCCTTGATACCTAGGTCTTTTGATAACATTGTTTACATTAATATTTTCATTACTAATTTCTTCTCCAACATCGTTATTATCCATTACCCTTTTACCTAGTTTGTTTACAATCTTTTGTTGGACAACTTCTAAAGGTAGAAAGTCTAGATCATCTAACTTCATTAATCCCATTTGTTGATATAAATCTTCCTCCAAGGTAATATAGTTATTCTCCTCTAATTCATAATCAGAAGCAATCTCTTTCTCAAAAATTATTTTCATGATATCGTTTAGCCTATCAGGATCTTCTTGTTTGTCAAACAAAATTTGCAATTCTTCAATCGTTTTCTCCTGAAGATGATGGCTCATCTTCAGTGTAACACCCCCAAAATTCAAGTCGTTTAAAACAATAAGAGTAACCTTTTTAACTTTCAAAAACCCAACCATCAAACCTCGGGAGTGTTACTGCTACACTTGTTTTCCGTAGAAAACAAATGCAAAGCAAAACAAGATACCATTTAATAAACTAAGTGGTCTAAGTGGCGGCAAAATAAAATAGTCATTTCATCCAAACTGTAAAACATTTTAAATAAAGTAAATAAAAGGAAAATAAATAAGTTCGGAAGTAAACTAGATTGTCTTAGCTACATGATTATTCTAACGTCTCCTCACATATAACCGAGTACCCTCTCACCAACCTGCAAAATAAATTAGAAAAAAAAAGGAGAGAAAACTCCCAAAATTAGATAAACTGAGTAATTCCAACTCCATCCCGTAAAATAAATAATTTTAGTTCGAAAACATTTTATACATAATACAGTTACATAGACATTATAATACTAAACTAATACCAAATTGTCACATAACACTTTTATTACTTATTATTAAGAAAGGGAAATAGAACACCAGTAAGCCGGGACTAGTCCCTGTCACCACCTACTTTACAGAGGGTCGTGCGTAACCCCCAAATGGCCATAAAATAAAACAGAATGTCCCTAGTGTGCACACCCCACACTAATACCCATTGATTAAGAGGAAGACTAAACAACAATATACGTTAATTTAAACCAACTAGTAGCAACCATAACTACTAGTGGGCAACCTGTTCTTCACCCTCTCGGGGTCCATTTCCCTTCTTAATTTCAATGTACATTTTAATAGATTAAATTGTCCGATCACATTGCACACAAGTATTGCACAAATCAATTTAATCCCAAGTATCAATATTTCAATTTCAGTATTATTAGAACATAGTCATTCTACATGACATACTAATTACAACTCGTTTCCTCCAACTTGCTTACGTATAGATTATGAAAGATATATATAACTTTTTTTTTTTTTTTTTTTTTTTAAGAAAACAAAACCAAAAGAACACCTGTAACCAATATTGGTAGTCTTCCTTTCCTATTTTTATTAAAGTCAACTTATCCTTTAAAATCATCAAATGCTTTCAAATTTCAATACAAAGTATGAAATTCCACCACCATATATGGTACTATTACCCTTAAATCACAAACGATAATAACTTGTTTTCCACCTTTTTTTTTCTTTTGAAAGAAATAGGATAAGAGCATTACGGTTTGGTGAATTTGGTATAACTTCAAAAGGGAAAATATACTAACGCAGCAACGGTGATGATGATGATAATAATTGACAGTATGAGTTGAAGCTATGGTGGTCTAATATTGAGATATAATAATGGAGACAAGCAACAAATTCAATTTGAGTGCCAAAAGGTCGGGTTCGTCAACGTAGTTACGGGTTTAACAATGAAAGGTGTTAATTAAAGATTACTAGTCGTAATATTGAAGCTTAATTGACTAGTTAAAGTCATCTAAATAAAGAAGGAATTATGAATTAAATGAGCTCTCTTACCTATCAATTTGGCTTACAATTAAATTAATGGAGTTGAAGGGTGGAAGAGGAAGCAGAGTAGTTGTTTTTGTGCCCTTCCCCCTTCTCACAATTAAGACAATTTATAAGGTGGAATTTGGGTGAAATTGAGGTTTGAGATAGATTGATGTAACTAACTATGATAAGATTAAAATTCAAATTTTTAGATAAAATTAGTTTTCAAATGAATAGGATTGAATCACACACTGAAATTAGTTTTTTTTTTTAATATATATATATATATATATTTTTAAATACGAAAATAAGAAATTTGAAAATAATTTTAAAAAAAAAAACGAATACTAGAAATTCATTTACTAAAAAATTCGGTTTATTACATCTACTCCTCCTAAAACGAAAGTTCATCCTCGAACTTTAAAGTTACTTAGCTCTCTGAACAAGGCTGACACGATGACAAAAGATAAGTTGGTATTACATTCTACCCCCCTTTAAGAGTTTTCGACCTCGAAACTCAGCGTACCTGTCAAATAGTTCTGGGTAGCGCTTTTTCATATCATATTCAGCTTCCCATGTTACTTCTTCAAAATTCTGATTAGACCATAGCACTTTAACTAACTTTACCGCCTTATTTCGAGTACTTCTCATTTTGGTATCAAGAATCTTAACAGGGCGTTGTTCAAAAGTTAAGGTCTCATCTAGCTCAATAGTCTCAGGTTGGATAACATGCATGGGTAGGATCATGAACATACTTTCGGAGTTGCAAAACATGAAAAACATTATGAACATTGGCTAACTCTATGGGTAAGGCTAGTTGGTATGCCACCTCTCCAACTCTTTTTAATAGCTCATATGGCACAATTTATCTAGGACTCGGCTTCCCTTTTCTACTAAACCGCATGACTCCCTTGGTAGGTAAAACCTTAAGTAAAGCCTTTTCCCCGACTTCAAATTCCACTATTCTCCTATTATGGTCTGCATATGACTTTTGTTGATCTTGAGCTGCCTTCATGTTTGCCTGGATAATCCTAACTTGCTTCATTGTTTCTTCAATCATTTATGGCCCCAAAGTTAAAGACTCACTAATATCACTCCAACACAAGGGACTTCTACACTTCCTTCCGTACAACGCTTCATAAGGTGCCATTCCTATGCTCGCATGATAGCTATTATCATATGAGAATTCAATCATAGATAATCTTTCGTCCCATGATCTACCAAAGTCCATCACACAAGCTCTTAACATGTCCTCCAAGGTCTGAATTGTTCTCTCTGTTTGTTCATCTATAGTAGGGTGAAACGTTGTGCTAAACTTCAGGATAGTACCAAATGCTTGCTGAAACGTTTCCCAAAACTTTGATAAAAATCTTGGATCTTTATCTGAAATGATATCTTTAACAACTCCATGTAGCATCACAATTTCTTTTCACATAGGCATCTGCCAACTGATTCACATTCCAAGTGTCCTGTATTGCTATGAATCTTGCCGTCTTCGTTAAACGATCAACTATGTCCCAAGTAGCATTCTTTGCTGCCCTTGTAAGCGGTAATACCATCACCAAATCCATAGAGATAGACTCCCACTTCCATCCTGGAACATCTAAAGATTGCAGTTTTCCTCCAGGTCTCATATGTTGTATCTTCACTTTCTTACATGTAAGGCACTTTGTCACAAACTCGGCTACTTCACGCTTCATGTTCGGCCACCAAAATGTTGCTTAAGATCTTTATAGAGCTTATCTTCTCCCGGGTGTACAGAGTACATGGTGTTGTGAGCTTCTTCTAAAATCTTCCTTTTGAGATCTTCATCTTTAGGAATACACCATCTCCCCTTGTATTTCACTGCCCCACTATCATCGACATCAAACTCAGTTGTTGTTCCTTCTTCTTTCATCTTTCTCACCTTCGTCAACCACTCATTGAACGTTTGCTTCTCACGAATCTCATCATATATGGTAGGTTTGACTGACATTGCATTCCATTGAGCGTTCACCTGACCATACTACATCGCTTCCAAGTTCAGCTTCCTAAATTCTTCACAAAGTTCCTTGGCTAAAACCATCAAGTTCACTGTATGACTTGTCTTCCTACTCAAGGCATCATCTACCTTGTTTGCCTTTCCTTCGTGATATAGAATCTCTGGGTTGTAATCGGTTAGCACCTCAAGCTATCTCCTTTGCCTCATGTTCAAGTGACTCTATGTGAATATATATTTAAGACTCTTATGGTCCATACACACTTTACATCTCACAACATACAAGTAGTGTCTCCAAATCTTGAGAGCAAACACTACAGCTCCTAGCTCCAAATCATGAGTAGGGTAATTCTGTTCATGCTGCTTGAGCTGCCTTGATGCATAAGCTGCAACCTTCCCATGTTTCATAAGTACACACCCAGAGCCATTCTTAGATGCGTCACTATAGACTTCAAATCCTTTAGTCCCTGATGGTAAGGTTAAGACTGGTGCTGAGGTGAGTCTTCGATTCAATTCTTAAAAAGATTGCTCACACTTCTCATTTCACTGGAACTTAGTAGTTTTCTTCATCAAATTTTTTAAGGGTTGAGCTATCCTCGAAAATTCTTGCACGAATCTCCTATAGTATCCAGCAAGCCCTAAGAAACTCCTCACTTCGGTCACACTTGTTGGTCTTGGCCAATCAGAAACTACCCGAATCTTAGATGGGTCCATCGCAACTCCTTCCTTTGAGATCACATGGCCAAGAAATGCTACCTTCTCTAGCCAAAATTCACATTTGATAATTTGGCATACAACTTATTTTCTCTAAGAATTTCCAACACTTTTCTTAGATGTCCTTCGTGCTCTTTTCTATGCCTCGAGTACACCAAAATATCATCTATGAACACCACAACAAACTTATCCAAATATGGCTAAAAAGTTCTATTCATGAGGTCCATAAAAGTTGCGGCGTATTAGTGAGTCCAACAGGCATAACAGTGAGCTCATAATGGCCATATCTCATGCAAAAGGCCATATCTTCCTCAACAATCCTCAACTGATGGTATCCCGTCCTCAAGTCAATCTTTGAAAAGATCCCAACACCTTTAAGTTGATCAAACAACTCCTCAATCCTAGGAAATGGATATTTGTTCTTTATAGTGACATTATTCAACTCTCAGTAGTCAATACACAACCTTAAGGTTCCGTCCTTCTTCCTCACAAACAAAACTGGTGCTCCCCGCGGTGAAACACTTGGCCTAATATAACCCTTCTCAAGCAACTCCTCCAGCTGTACCTTCAACTCTTTCATTTCTGCTGGTGCCAATCTACATGGTGCCTTAGAAATAGCTCCAGTCCTAGGCACTAAGTCTATTTTGAAATCCATCTCCCTAATTGATGGCTTTCCTGGAATTTCATCTAGAAACACATCTTAAAATTCTCTCACCACTAGAATGCAATCTATGGACTATTCTCTTCTACACTAACATCTTGCACATGGCATAAATAAAATAGGGTAGCCTTTTCGGATATAAGAATGAAAAGTCATGGCTGACACAATACTAATCCCTGGTTTTGACACAACTCCTTGATAAGAGATTATATTCCCTCTTGGCCCCCTAAGAGACACCTTTTGGGTATGACACTCAATTCTAGCCTTGTACTTGCTAACCAATCCATTCTCAATATTACATCAAAGTTATTTAAGTCAAACTGAATAAGGTTTGCAAGCAACTCAGTTCCAACAATGTTAACTACAATGTCTTGGTATATGGATTTACAAGGAACTACCTCCCTAGAAGGAATTGTTATGTTGGTTTGACACAAAGATGAAGGTTTTAAAGCATGTTTATTCACAAAAGAAGTGGCTACACAAGAATGAGATGCCCCAGAATCAAAAAGTAAGTAAGCAGGTTTTGAGTTCATGAGAAAAGTACCCGTCACAACGTTGGCATTCGAGTCAATCTCACTCTGGCTCATGACATAGATTCTTCCATTACCGATCCTACCATTGCCATTGTGGTTGTTTCCTCCAACATTGTTGTTGTTGTTTTGGCCATTCCCTCCTTGAGCATTGCCATTTTGGCCCTGAGAATTGTTGTTATTGAAGCAGTTGTTGTAGTTTGAGTTCCTCCCATAACCACCTCCATTATTGCCATTGTTGTTACCTTGCCCGTTCTGAGCTTGATTGATGCCATCTTGCTTCTTTAGACACTCAAATTTCTTGTGACCAACCTCCCCATATTCAAAGCAAATAAGCAAATCTCCATTGCAGTTGCGTCCTGGATGGCTCTTGTCACATTTACGACATGGTCGATTACGAGGTCCTTGCTGATTCTGTTGTCCCTGGCCCCGGTGGTTATTGCCTCGATTGCTGTTGTTACGACCTCCCTGCTGACCATTTCCACCATTCCCATTGTTATTACCCCTGAGACATGCAATCACTACAAGAAAACAGTCAATCAACGACAGAAAAAATCCGTCGGAAAACCGTGAAATTCCGTCGGAAACGGCCATTTCCGACGGAAGGCAGTGTCGGAAAACCTTTTGTGGGAATTTTGCGATATTCCGTCGAAAGAGACCTTTCCAACGGAATTTCCGACGGATTTTGTTATGTCGGCGCTTTTGTTGACTTTCAGTGTAAATCCGTCGCAAGGTTCCAACGGAAAGTGGGATATTTTCCGACGGAAATTTCCGTCAGTGGTGGAGATGTTCCGACAGAATTTTCCGTCGGAGGCGGGAAATTCCGACGGAAAATTCTGTCGGAAAAATAAATTAAAAAAATAATAAAATAAAAAGCCCCACCTCACCCCCACCACCAGCCCACCCCCTGCCCCCTACCCTCAACCTCAGACCACCACCCACAATACCCCCACAACCCAGATCCCCACCTACCAGCCCACCCCCTATCCCCTTACCCCTCTACCTAGCCCCACCACCACCAGCCCACCCCAACCCACCACCAGCCCCCTGCCCTCCTAACTTACCCAGATCCCCACCCCCACCCACCCAGATCCCCACCCCCCACCCACACCCAAACCACCCCTCCTGTCCAGACCACGTACACCCAGCCCCACCCTCACGCACACCCACCCACACCCAGCCCCACCCTCACCAACTCCACCACCCCACTAATAACCCCAGACCCACCAACCCTCCACTAACCCATACCACATATCCACCACCCCACCAATAACCCTGACCCACCACTAACCCACCCAGACCCACCACCACCCTACCTAACCATAAACCACACCACAGAACCACCTTACCCTACCCTAGCTAACCCAGACGGCAAAAATTAAAAAAAAAAACGAAAAGTATTGAAAAAAATACAGATCCGAAAATAAATTGAAAAAAAAATCGTATTTTATACAAATTAGAGCAGACGAACGAATACAAATCTGAACAGAAATTATATTCAAACTAGATCTATGCAAGTTAATAATACAAAAAACAGAATACAAATCGGAAATCTACAAAAACGAATAAAATTCCTCTGACGAACGAACATGTTGTTGATGGCTCGAATTTTGGCTGGAATTGCTGAGATTTGGCTCGAGTTGCTCGGATTTTCGCTCGAAGTTGCTTGAACTAGCATGAGAGGAGGAAGATCGAATTAAAAACATTGAATTTTTGTGATTTTCGTTGATGGAAAAAGAAGGGGTAAGAGAAGACGAAAAAGAGGCGCACAGGAGAGAGAAAGAGAAATGAGGGAGGAGAGAGGCGTTGTGGGTTTTTTAGGGTTTTTTTTTGTTTTTTTTTTATTATTAGTGTTTGTTAGGTTTTTTTTTATTATGTAAATATTTTCCGACGGAAAATTCCGTCGGAAACTTCCGACGGATTTAATTTCCGCCGGAAAATAATTGTTTCGACGGAATATTCCGTCGAAAATCTCCGAGGGATTTTATTTCCGTCGAAACATTACTGTTCCGACGTAATAATCCCTCGGAAATTTCCGACGGATTTCATTTCCGTCGAAAGATTAAGTTTCCGACGGAATATTCCGTCGGAAAACCCATAAATTCCAATGGATTTGTATTCCGTAGGAAATCCGTCGTAAATTTCCGACAGATTTTAATTCTGTCGGAACGTTCCAA